GTCCAGGGAAACCCTAAGAGCCATGCTTCCAAAATTAGTGTCTACTGAGCAGCAAGAAAGAATTGCACAGGGAAGACATGGGAGTTTTACTAATTTTCGTTCCTTGCCCCCTACTCCCTGCTCCAGCTCGAATATCTGGTTCAGGACTTCATAGGAGCCTTTGGGAAATCCATGCCAAACCTCCAGTAAAAGTGGCCTGAAGTATTTGTGATGTTTCTCACTTCAAAGGCCTAAAGGAAAGTCGTGGGCATGATTGCTTTATCTGTTTTAAGTGTGTTTCTCTCCTGAGAACCAAGGGCTTCTATGTCACCCTGAGTGCAAGGGGAAAGGAGCCGTCACAACCTGAATGGCGGGCTTTGCCCTGGTCCTGTGCAGCGGAGGGGTCACAGCCAAGAACTCCACTTGTTTTGTGTGACTTGGTTCACCTGCCTTCCGGGCTAACTCATAGGTGTCCTGGCCTCTGTGTGGCCACTGTGGCATCACTTTGCACTTCAGTTTTAGGAAGTCATTCTAACTGAGTTTATGCTGATTGCATAACTCACAAGAGGTTCCTTCTTCATTGGAAATTTGTTGCAGTGTTTCCAGAAACCGCTAGTACTGTAATGTGAGGGTACCTAAGGTCATCCGCCAGCAGGGGTGGCTTCATCAGCATACAACCTGTATAGTCACAGGGTCGCACAGAGATGGGCCCCGAGCTTGGAGTTAATGCTGTATCGTTGCAGTCTTGAAATTCTTAGTAGTTTTATCTTTGACTTTGTGTCTTGTAAGTGAGGTCCAGTGGGGCAATGGAGTGTGCACTGGGGGCACGTGACCCCACCTATCACTGCCTCCTGCCCACCCTGGGTGGGTTCTTGCCCCTGCCATACTCCGACCCTGGCGGAACCTGGACACAAGAAAGGTTGGAGTTAGGTGCGTGCACCTGCAGTATCTCGGGTCAGGGTTTGGTGGCAGCTGTCCCCATCCAGAGATGACAGCTCCGAGGCATGTTCAGTGGGTGACTAGGTGGGCGTGAGCCTCTCCACTATCCCTGAACCAGGTTCCTGGTACATCCTGACTTGGAGGTTGTAATACCCTTGGGAGTCACCTGTCCACCTCTGGTTGGGGCGTTTGGTCCCTGGAAAGAAGAAATACCTGACTAGACTTCCCTGCCCCTGGCCAGGTCATGGCATAGCTGTCCAGCTGCTGGCCAAAGGGGAAACCTGGCAGTTGGTGGTCACATGTGCACTTGCATACTTTGTCACTGGGGGCCCCTGTGCCTGTGGGGGCTGTGCTCACCTTGCAATCATCCTCATACTTCGAAGAAAACATGATATAAACAGCATATAAAAAAACATGTCATATACAACAATGTAAATGAACTTAATGCCACTGAACTGTACACTTAAAAAGGGTTAAAATAGTAAATTTTACGGATAGGTTACCACAATAGACATATTTATAGGGTATTCAAAAAACAAAAAACACATTGACAGGTGGAGAGAGAGACTATGAAAGAAAGAAAAAAGCTTTATATTTAGTACATTTAATGGCACTGTTTTCCTTTTTGAACAAGGGGTCTCGTATTTTCATTTTAACTGATAATGTAGCCAGGCTTGACTGTTGGCCACCTGGTAAAACTACCCAGTCTTTACCTTTCTGGAGGTTTGCCCTCAAATCCTAAAAGTCGTATGCTGAACTGACTCTTACCTCTCTCCCTTCTTTCCCCCACAGGTCTTTTGTTGGCTGTGTGCCAGGCCCTGGAGAACACCACATCCGCCTTGAGCGGTAAGTCCTGCCCCCTCATCCCCTCGGCATGGGATGGCATGTGGGGCATGGGAAGGAAGCAGGCCATGGCTGGTTTGTGGAGCCCGTGCTCTAAACTTCCTTCTGGGGCCCTGAACCTTCTCTGCTCTTTGTCTCAGCGGTTAAGGTCATGATCCTGGGAGAGCTTAACTGGAGGCCAACTGCTTGCTCAGGGCTCACCCTCTCCTATCTCTCTTCAGACAATCACCGTGGGCCAGGGTGCTGCAAAACAGTCTGCAGGACCCGAGAGCTCGGAGTCATCCCCACTTTTCTAGCTCATGTATTAATCCATCCAAAGAAAAGCCCAGATTTTTTAACCCTTTCTTCTGCTTCTGCCTTGTGATCTTCATTTAGTTATTTTCTGATTTATCTTTTGACATTTGTAGTAATATTTTCTTTATTTCATTTTAAAGATCCTAGATCAACAGATTAGAGAGTTTGGGGAACGTAGGAGGCGAACCACTCATGGTCAGAGTACTACAGAAGCATCACTGTTACATTTGCACATTGCTTTTAGCCTTTGTCCATGTGCACTAATATTTTTATACAATTAGTCATAGTGAGGAAAATATTTTGATTCCTGCTTTTTAAATTCACGGTTTGGAGTTGTGCTTTTTTCCATGTTGCTAAAAAGTCTTAAAATTTATCCTTTTAAAATGTCATGATGTTCCATTAAAATTGACACAGGTAATTGAATTAAGCATTCACCATTGGATATTTATGTTGCCTCCAGCTTAAGTTACGATGCTACACCTTATACCTAGAAGCTTTTTCTTTCTTTTGGATTCTTTCCTTAGGCTATATCTCCGGGAATAAGAATAAATATATTTAAGACCCTTGGTACAAATTGCCGAATATCTTTCCAAGTGAATTTGAGCTGATTTGACACCAGCAATGCATGAATCTGCCAGTTTCCCTCATTGACATGGAGGGGAAAGCAAAGTACCAGCAGGCCCTGATTTGTCCGTCTCCCTAGTCATTTCAGGGCCGTGTCAGTGCAGGGGGTGGGTGTTTCTTATGTATTCACAAATTCTCTAATCAACTACATGCTGTCATGGTACTTTGCTCTTCTGCTCTGCCAGACCTTTCCCTTCGAATACACCACAGGTGATACTGCCACTCCCACAGGGTACCACTGCTTCTGCAGCCCCACGGTCTCCCCTTGGAACTGTTATCTTTGATGTTCTTGAACGCTTAACTGTCCACTTGATGATCCATGATGCCACAGAAGAAAATGCCTCTCTTCTCCTGTGTTATGCTTTGTTGGGGCTGAGGGTGGAAAGGTGTATCCATCCCAGAGCAGTGCTTCGGGGGTCCAGGGTCTACCAGAGTCTTCATAAAGCAGTTCTTTCACTTTTTAATTACCTCCCACATCACAAAGGGCTCAGATATAAATATATGAGGAGGGGGATAGCTTAGTGATCTCCCACTGTACTGTTCTCACAATTGTCCTGACCTCTTTCCTGGGGTCCATTTACCCCCAGAAGAATCCTCAGCCCCTCCTGGTCATCACTGTAGTACCTGTTAGGCGAAGGTGATGCTTGCAGATGACAGGTTGCAGTGATGGCAAATGCTGAGGCTACCATCATGGGTACTATTGGTTATTTGATCTTTCCTTCCAATCGCCATCCATTCATATAGACGTGGAAGGCCTATGGGTGTTGTACCTGAGCCTGTTCCCTCAGGTACGGTGTGTTGAGGTTTTCCAGTCTCCTCTGGGCAGACATGGGGAGACCTGCTATATATACTCAGAACAACTGCCCTTGCTGCAGTGGTGGCAACCTCTGTTCCATCTTTCCTTTCTGGACGTGCTTCTGTGGAAATGTCTCCGATATGAACGGGTACCTGAGGCCCACTCTCCTCATTATGATGTTTCTTCAGGGAACGGTAGTTATACCCTGCTATGTTGCATATCACCCTGTAACAGGCTGAATGCCACCCTATGACCCAACGTGGTGGGTGAGAGCAGGGGCAGTGCCACAAATTCTAGTGTCCAGGGGGCTTTGAGATCTTGGAGTTGGTTGGTGGTCTGTGGAGAAGGGAAGTGGACAGCCTATCTGTCCTCTGCAATGATCTATTTGACGGGTTACCGAGCTATGGGACTTATGCCAGAGAGGTTAACGGACTAACTCTTTCTATTTTTATTAATTCTCTGTTCTGCCCCATTGGATCCAGACATGAACCCATGGGCTAGGAGACAAGTCCAAAGTGTGATGACTGTGTCATAGAGACCCTTCCAAGGTCTAGGGCCTTGAGACTTAATCTGGCTTCTTTGCTTAACTTTCTCTTCCTTTAGGGTGAACTTCCTGTCTCCTAGAAGATTCTTCAGGCTCTGGTAGGCCTTGACCACCACCATCCCTATTCTTTTCTCACCAGACATTGCTGAAATCCTGTGGTGGATGCAGCTCAAACTGGGGACCACCCCCACCAACCACACTCACTACCCCAGCACTGGAGTGGCTACCCCAGCACTGGAGTGTGTGTGTGTTTTAACTCTTGGCTAATTCAGTAATTAAAACTATTTGTTAATGTTCATTATGGAAATCTTTACATATGGAAAAGAAATAATAGTGAAATCAATTCCCATATACCCATCACCTAGCGTCAACAATTAGCATTGCTCTGCCATTTTTCTTTTATCTATTCTCCCATAGTTTTTATTTTTCCTTTTGCTGGGATATTTTAAAGCAAAGCTTATTTCTCTTGTGTATATTATATCTAACAGATGAGGACTTTTAAAAACAAAACCATAGTTCCATTATACCAACAAAAGCAACAGTAATTCTTTCTTTTTGTCAGATGCTTAAATATGAAGGGTGGATGATGCTGCATTCGATTTTGTGGCACTTCATTTAATTTTCGTTTCCTTTAATGTTTTCACATTTTTCTTTCTACGTGTATTATTTTATATTAAGGTGAAAACACTGTTTTTGTAAAATGCGCTCATTTATATACTGGGTGATTGATTTTCACATCTGCATCCCTTCTAACCCTTTATGCTCTGGGTGTTGGTGGGCCCATTTACTAAATCCAAGAACTATCCATTTAGATGTAAAGATGGGTCATTTTAGGACCAAAGCCATAAGGAGTTGATGAGAATGAGAATAATGGATGTAAGAAGGATTCGATACATTCCTGAATGACAGTGCTGGAGCAGGAAGACTGCAGGCATATTCAGGATTAAACTTAAACATTTTGAGGGAACAGCATAGAGGAGAAATTGCAAACTTCATGTGCCAATCAAGTGCGGTACGTGAGCTTAAAAGAACAGGGGCTGATCCCACGTGGCTTTCCTGTGCTCTTTGAAAAAAAAAAAAGTTCCATGTTCTTATTATTTGACAGTTAACTGGCCTTTCTTTTTGAGGTTTTATTAGTTTCTTCCTCTCTGTTAGATGCCCAGATATGGAGGGTAGATGATGCCAGAGGCATAGGAAACTGGCATTATTATCATCAGCAAATGCTTCTTAGACATCCACTTTGTGTGGGACTTAGAGGGATACATGCCTTAGATGGTTAGGTTGGGAATCCTGGGTGTTGGGCCGATCTGGTCTGTTTTACTAGGTCCCTGAACAAGTTATTCATCTGGCTCCTGTTTGGATCTGAGCTTCCTCATCTGTTGGACTTGAATCAGGAATAGCCTGTTAAGATTTTTCGCATGACCTCTCCGATAGATTGGTGGAGACTACTTGGAGGGCTTTGTTGAGAAGGATTATGAGGTTGCCTTCGGGCTGTTAGGAAATAAAGTGATCAATTGGCAGTGCTTGCCACACACCCAAGGTAGGGAAGTGGTAGTGTGACTGCCATGTATTTAATTCTCTTGGAACCAGACGCTATTTTACATTCAGGTCCCTACAGTCTAGTTGCTGGGACTACACAAAGAGGCAGTCCCTCTCTGTCCTTGTCCTCAAGGATCCCACCATATAGGTGAAAAGATAGCGTGAGAACCCATAATGTGATAACGACATAAGGCAGCCTGGGCTGACTGCTTAGTGCATGATTTAGAAAACAATTGCTGCTGGAGCGAAATCAATAGTCAAAGGGTTAGGACAAGAAAATTTTATCTGGTTGTCGATTTGTGAAGCATGCAGGGAAACATTAGCTGGAGGCAAGGTGAGGGTGACAGCACTTACAACTTAGAACATCTGTCATACCCTCCTGAGGAAGGAGCTATGACCTATCTTCAAAAGGCACCTTTTAATATCCCTTAAAAGGGACAGAATGCACCCGGTTAAGTTTTTGGGTGGCTCCTTGCTTAACTCTCCAAAATGTTGCACAGTTCCCAGGCTGCCCGTCTGGTTCTCGTGTTTTCATGTGACTCGCTCTAATGACTGAGGGGTGTGGTGCGGGCCTTGCTCGGGCACCTGGAAACTGGGCGCCGGGCTTCCCTCTGCTATCTGCCTTGCACGATCTTGATACTAAGAGCGGCTCTTTAAACTTCTGAACTACTGCTCCTTGCTCTAGCCCGTGTCTAATGATAGCCACATAGAGTTGGGGAATGTTTAAAGGCTTACTTAATTTGGTTTCATGAAAGAACGTGGAAAATTCACAGTGGCGTTATTCATGGGGAAGGTCACCATTAGCTTGCTTGGGGAAATCGTGGTCAGATTTCTGTGGGGACATTGAGTTTAACTGTATTGAGAGGGCAAGTTTGGGCTGGAGGTGCACAGAGGGAGGGCAAAGCAGATTATAGGAAAAGGTCTTGGAAAGCGTTATTTGTTTGGAAAACAGGTAGAACACAGGTCAGCCAGCAAGCCACAGATCTGTTTATTGCTCATCTCACCAAACAAAAGCTTTTCAGAATTGCAAACTGCTTCCTCATTCCATTGTCTGGAGTTTTCCCACGTGGAGCTGCAGTCATTCTAAAATTAGAAGGCTCACGTGTACTGCCCAGGTACACGGTTCACTGTTCCAACTGTGTCTACAGCACAAGACACTTTGTGTGTCTTAGTTTGGAGATAAAAGCACATATATCTGTGTGTGCT